GTCACCCAGAGCACGTGGCACTGCACGTGGACTGCATCCAAGCAGGCCTTGGAGATCTCCAGAGACTCCACAACCTCTGTAGGCAGCCTGTTCCAGTGCTCCGTCACCCATAGCTGGCAAGGAACCTGCTGAGCAGATCTTCTTTGGTGGCCCTTCTGATTGTACCGTGTATTTCCTCTGGTGGAAGGAGCTGTTAGAGACTGAGCGAGCTGTGCAAGGCTATAGAAGAGGGAAGGTCAAGGGCTGCCCATGCAGCTTGTATACGGACCTCATCCCAAAGTTTATTTTCATTCAGGAGTGTGTATTCATCCCATACCAAATTTGCAGATGAATTAAAATGCATGTTGTATGAGGCAGTCATTAAGTTGCAAGGATCGTCGTTATTGAAGGTAAATGTTAATCACTCCCTTTTTTGAAATTACAACCAGAGACAATAAGTTGCTGAATACCAGGGAATAAACTGAGGACAGTGAAGCAAGAAAGGTCTGCATCTGTATTAGTTAATTAAACAAGACCAGAACCCATGACAAAACACCAACCTGATAGCTTGTTTCATGTCCCCAAGCTTGGCTTCCTCCTTGATTTCGTATCTCCAGGCATGGTCCCTGGCTAAGCAGCCCTCTCCCAGGTGATGCTGTGTGTAGGTAGGAACTACATGAAGGTCTATCACAGCAGGCAGCATAAATGACACCATCACATCCTGGGGAGGTAGAAAGCTTAGATGTGTGAGCGAAACGTGCTTAGAGCCACTGACCATGGAGGTGCCGCACGCGGTCCCAAGGAGAAACCCTGTCCAATCTAATGCGCGTGAGCAGGGATAGCCAAGGAGCTAGTCAGCTCCTGGGCCTGTAGGACCCACCCTGGCTGCTGCAACAGAGCTAATGTTGATGCTATCCGGGAGTGGAGTTGGACCCAGTGATGCCTCAAGGTCCCTTCTAACCTAATATATTCCATTACTTTCTCTTTCCTCCTTCAAGTTATATGTCTTTTAAATTTTCTCAAGCATTTAATTGTCCAAATAATCTTTCATAAGTATTTTCTACCAAATGGAAATGCACATTCTAACAGCAAGTTAGCTAATTTCATACTGGATAGTAAAATGGGGTTATAATTAATCCAGTCTTTAGAAAGTTGACTGGACTTTGGTGGCATTTGAAGTGAATATTGGTTTTGAGCTTTTTATTCAGAGAATTTCAGACTGTTTTTGCAAAGGTTTAGCAGCTGCAGATTTAAGATGTTTGTGTAAATGTAAATTCAGAAAACGAGACTTTCTCAAGGTGTTTCCTTAACTTGTTTAAAGTACTATTCTTGCCTTAATCACCTTAATTTCACCTGCACATGAAATCTCTTTATTTCAAATAAAGCTGAGACTGTGAGTAAATTGGCCCATACCTTACTCTTGTATGTATGTGTGCTCAGGGATAGTCTAAATTCACTCTGTCTGCCAATCAGAGTATTATGATGTAAAAATGTCATTTTTTTCTCATTTCCACATTCCTTTTACTTTAGGATAATTTTGGCTTAATGATCTCTCTAATTAATTAGAGTAGCCAGAAGGTAGTAAATGTTTAAAACAGAGATGTGCTGCTTGCTAACAAACGGAGTGAACATATACAGAGTATATAGGTAGAAAACATAAAAGTGAATGTAGAAGACAGTTTGTCCTGTGCTGCAGGTTCCAAAAAACTTTCAATTTAATATGTCTGCTATATTGTTGCATTTAGAAATGAGTGATAAATCACACTTTATCTGTGGTTTTTTACTTTCTAATTTAGTTTGTTTTACTAGGGGCTTTGGAGGGAGGGGGTTATCTAGGGCTTTCTCTCTTTTTGAATTTTTGTTTCTGTTTGATAAACATAGTTGTCAAGATCTTTTGGTCTCTTTTTGTTATTGTTTGCATAGATTACAAAGGAAATGGTTGAAATGGTTAGGCCATTGTATTTTGGGTAGGATGGTCTTGCCAAAGTTGGGTTACATTATTGCAATATGTTCTTCAGAAGGCCAAACCTTGAAACCTAACTGAAAACTGGACGGAGGGTGGAATGTTATTTTTTGTCAACACACAGCATCAGCAGTCTGTGCTATGCATGAGCTAGCTGCTGATTTCTGTATGAAATTTGAGGTAGTAATTGATTTAGTGAGCTTTGTGCTATTAGGATCCTTTCTTCCCAAAAGTTTCCCAATTCACCCACCTTGAATAAGTACCACAGTTGCAATAGCCTGAAGTTTCCTTGATATAAATGGAAAGGAGGGGTAGGATGTTATTCTTGGGGAGGCTGGGGCTGGGGCATTTTAATCTGCTTTTTCTTGTGGTCCCTGAGAGCCTGAATGTGATGATTTTGCAAGGCCAATTTTCAAAATCTTGCCTCAAAATTGTGCTTCAGTGGCACTGATTTTGGGGGAGGAAAGTCAACAAGGCCATCTCTGTGTTCATTTTGTTTTGTGAAGGTCTGCGTTAGAGATCTGTTGTGGTCTTAGTAGTATAACAAGTGTGTGACCGAGCATGGGCAAGCAGAAAGGCAATGTTGGTGTGAGCAAAACTGGAAATGCAGGGGTGTTGTGGGAAGATGGGCACATTTTTTTCCCCATGAGATTTCTTGTTCCAGATAGGAACAGCATTATTGTTGGTTTCAGGCTGTTATTCAATCTCTTCTCAAGTGTAATTTTAATAAAATTCACTTGGTGAACATAGATCTGATCTGAATGAAAATAAATATTTTGAAAAGCTGGAAATTTAAATTGCTTGGTGTGAGTGGTGACTGATACTCTTTGGTAGATTCTCTTTGGTATTTTGCTATTCTATTTAGTTTTACATTATTATTTGAAATGTTTTATTTTGTATGCAGCTTGGTTTGCTTCTTTAAACAAGCATGTTATAAATGTACTACACATCCACAGAAATATTGAATCGCTTTGAAACTCAACATTTTCTTCTTTTTCTTCTTCTTTTTTTTAAATGGACTGTTTTTAAAAAGATATTTTAAAAGTCAGACTTTATAAAATTGTACTTTATTTCGCCTTCTTCATATATGTATGTATATAAAAAGTGATTTCTGCTTATTTGTAGCAGTTTTGAAAAAAACAAGTTATGAATAGCTATCCTGTAGACATTCTATTCTATTCTATTGGTTAAAATTATATTGTTGGTCTTAACATTATATTGACTGTTTGCTTACTTGCAGTTTTTTCTTTAAATCTAAATATTTAAAATGCTGTTACATTTATATACATCTAAGCATTACTATTATTATTATTAAAACACATCTTGGTCAATTTAAAATTATACAACGAGGATGGATTAAGTGATACAGTTGAAGGTGGCAGGGAATGGGATGAATAAGAAATGACAGCTTTGATCATTTCAGTAGAAAAAAAATGAAGTCACCTAAGAAACACTAAGATAAAAAAAGAAAGATTCAGGAAATGAAGAAGAATGACAAAACTGTACAGGTCAATAAATGTAGTTATAGGCAACAACATCTAAAATATGAAAGGATATTTTTCTGCTTAGGTAGTTAAGTTGTCACTAAATTGCCTGATCTTCCCCATTTTTCTGATTTCACCAAGAAAACAGAATTTTGCCATGTCAGAACTTCTTCACAGTTCCTTCTATCCTGTACAAGTCCTGCAAACTTGTAAAGTCCTACAAGTCCTATGAACTTGTACAAAAATATTAAAATAAGTGCTCAAAATGATTTAGTATGCAGAGTTTGATACAAAACTTTGGATTTCAAAAAACAAGTTTCTTAAATCATTCCAATAACAGTCTCTGCTAGCTAATGCGTTCCTAAGTTTCAGTAGTGACTGTGATATTCATTCAAAGTTGTTAAACGAAAATATTTGATATACTGGGGAAGAAACCATAAAAATTGGCTCCAGGGAATGACTGGTAGTACATGGGTGAGCTTTCAGGTAGCCTTTGGCTGGTTTTAATGTATTGGGAGTTGCAGCAGACTGCAGCAGGAGACGTCTGAGAATTTTGGCTAGATTAAAGAGAGCAGTTGAGTGTACAAGTCATCAGACAACTGCCTGGTAGTACTGGTTTAGAGCAGAAAGGTGCTCTTGGTGCCAGACACCTCAACTCATCAAAACACGATAAATTTTGCTGCACTGAAGGAGGGAATACTGAAGAATTAGGCAGGTAAGGACTCTGAAAGACCCCAGTTTCCCAAGCTGAAAAGCAGGATAAATTTGAAAAAACGATGGGGCTCTGAGAAGATAAGTGCCACCTGCTCACTAACCAGCAATTAAAGCACACATGGTAAGTTGGTAATTAATGTATGCAGTAAGCTTCTTCATGTCACACCCAGTTTTATTTGTCACTTGGGCACTTTGTTGCGCGGATTCTCTCTCCGCTGGAAAGCAAGAGATGGAAAGGCTTATTGCTCTTCCTTTCTGTGTTTGCACATCGTCTCATCTTTTTGAATCTTGTTCAACAAGCCTGCAGTAACTACCCATAATAACCTCTTACTAGAGGTAACTCATTACCATTTCCACCATAGATTTGTTCCATTTTCATTCAGCTGTGTGCTGCACATGAGGATCTGTAAATTACTCTTCAGAATCAACTTTTAATATGTTGTTTTTTCTTATTTCTTTATTGTGTAAAAAACACTTTTACAGTTTTTATATAAGTGATCTTCTAAAGAGAATGAGGATTGATTTTCTCTAAAGAAGCAAATTTAGGTGCAAAAATAAAGTCTTTTTTGAGTAAGATTTTTCATAGTACCTGTTCATAATGGAATACCCCTTTGTATAGGATTTTACCCTAATAACATCAACTTAATTTGTGAGGAAGAGTCCCCCTGCATCTTATTTGTTCCACACCTTTCCAGTTAGAAGAGGACAGAGGGTGATAAAAGAACATTTCTTTTTGCTGTAACTCTGTAGCTTCAAAGCTAGGTCTGCTCTCCTTTCCTACTTCAGAAGAGGATGAGACTTAAGACTTCTGAGAGTTTTGTGCTTGTTTTTTTTTTCTTTCTTTCTTTCTTTTTTAACAGGCCAAGCTCTGATAACAGGCGCCACAGCATCCGGGAGAGGATGTCCAGTGCCAGCGAGAAAGGGAGCTTGTCCATGGAGTCCACCAAGGAGACGCGGTACTGTGCTGTGTGCAACGACTATGCCTCAGGCTACCATTATGGGGTCTGGTCCTGTGAGGGCTGCAAAGCCTTTTTCAAAAGGAGTATTCAAGGTAATAAGTTCAAGTGAATCCCTTGAACTCTTTGCTCCAGAGGAAACTGTGAAGCTACTTGAGACTACAGACTGAGGCCAGGAGAATTAAATTTACTGGTTGTTCATCAGAAACTGCTGTGCTCTACCATGTATTCTTAGCACTGTATTTGGAGAATGTTATTGGCAGATAGAGAATACGTTGGTTTTTAGTCACAGATAACTTTGGGGATGGGTGAGGGACACTGTCTATATTCTGACATTCTGGTGGGCTTTTGTACATCTGATTATGGAGGTAATGCGTGAGGAATCTACTGTAAAAATCCATATTGGGTCAAGCTGACAACTCTTTCAGGATATGCATATTCTCCTTTCTGTGAACAAGTTCTTATTCAGAACAACTTTTTCTTGAAAATTGCCAGTCAGGTGAAGATTAATCCATGTTGGATGATTTCTTAATCCATATTTAGTGCTCGATTAACAAGGTTGTTCCATCCAAAGCACAGCTACTTGGGGATGTCAGAAATCTTTTGAGAGCTAATTTGGAAAATGAAGATTTCGTGTATGGTATGATATGTGTATTTTCCTGAAGTGTAGAGCTTTGAACTATATACAGGACAACATAGTTCACAGACATGGCATAGCTAAAAGCATACTGCATAGAGTTCAGAGGAAGAGAGCTCAGCTAACAGGAATGGTATTAATTGCTGTGACAAACATGATTCTTGACTAAAATGTCTGTCACTCTGTGGAATGAATACTATTATGCTTTGTGCAACATCTCCTAAATGGAGTCAGAAGAAGTTGTGAGTCTACTGTGAATCTTATTAGTGTCTGTCTTGCACTGGAGAAGAAAGTAGGAAGAAATTTCTCCCTTTCCTAATAGAAAACTCGCAAAGTGCTGTGCTTTACTTAGGTCTCTGTAGTGTTTTTTTTTTTTTTTAACACCTCTACATGATATTCATGTAAAAAAATTCCTGTTGCTCTTTTTTTTTATCTTTTATTTTTAAGTAAGCATAGGAAAAAACAATTTTTGCTTCATATCGCAAGTTGTGATTATTACCTGTTTTGTTGCTGTTTTGTTGTCTGAGTACCACTGAGGGGAGTTAGACAGAATTTCCAGAATTCAGCTCAAGAACTTTTCCAAGCTTTAAAGTAAAAAGTGAAAGATTGCCTCCAGGGGAGACATTGATGAAATGATTTGAATGTCAGTGATTAGTTAATAGTTACTTGTTTTTCTCCTTTTCCAGATTCATCTAAATGATTTTAAGAAAAGATAGTGGTTACAGCCAGCAGTCAATAACAAGTAAGACTGGAGGAAGAAAGGGTGAAATGCTTTTCTATTGTTAACATCAGAATGATTTATTTAAACTTGTGAATTAGGGAGAACAGCTCTTCTAGCTGAGTCCCTCCTTCCCTCTCCCTCCTTTTTTTTTTCAGTCCTCTGACTGAATCTTAATTATTCTTAGAATTTTTGAATTTTGAAATTCTGTCCTTGTGCTTAAACTGAACTAAGTCCTTTTATACGGAACATTTTTCTTTGTAAGAAAGAAGTGTGAGAAGTATGCCCTGTTTCCCTGCTTCTTTTTATTATTTAGAACAATACCGTGTTGACAGAATCACATTGCTCCATATGTTACTGGCATGACTGGCTTTTGGACAACCCATCAGCAAAGTGAAAATTGAAATCCCCTTAAGCAAAAGGTTAGCTATTTAGCTATGCAGTAATTGTATAGCACAGATCTTCAGCTTTTGGTCATTAAAGAAGAAGAAATTAATCTATTTCATTTAGTTCCACTGTCCTGCATCAGGACTCAGATAATTCTGCCCTCATCTCTAATAGCTATGGTTCTCAGCAATGCATCTGTCATCTGCTTGTTCTACACTACTTATTAATTAGTAAATTTAGTTATTGCTACATTTACATACCTAATGTATATTTTTTAAAATGTGAGAGCTTTAAAAATGAAAAGATTAAGGTTTCGGTGTTCCTTAAAATGCTTTTCTTAATCTTTGTTTTAGCTCATGTTTACTATTATTTAAACCCATTGTGCTTGCCTTATTCCTTGTGGGCATGAAGAAGGCATATTGAAACAACCTTTTACATAGTTGAAGACTGTTATCATATCTTTCCTTAGTCTTCTCTTCTTTAGACTAAACAAACCCACTTCTTTCAGTAGAACATGCTTTCTAGACTTCTGATCCCATTTGTTGAACACCTCCGAACTTTCTGCAGTTGATCCACATCTTGTGTGGATAACAGCTGTCATAAGAAATGGCTTCCACTTGTATCAAGAAAATAATTTAATAATAGGAACATTTATGAGAGAATTGTAATTTTTGGCTGATCGCAGCTGGTATGAAAAAGAATTTTAACATAATAAATGCCCAGTTTTAACAAGCTAAGGGATTATTTGAATTTCCTGATGGAACTGGAAGAGGTGTCTACCTTCACACTTGCATGTTCTCCTTCAACTCATGCCTTATTTACTAAAATGATGACAATTTTTTGAATCAGAATACATGAGAAAATGCACTATGTAGCTTGTAGATGATGATATAAAAAAGGTTGTGATTAATGCTATCCATTTTTAGCTATAGGTGTAGGAGTGTTTGCAGAAGAATATGTAAATATTATTATATAGGGAACATATAGATGATATGCAATCCTAAAATATGGATAAAATTCCCTGGTAATCATATGATTCAGCTGTATTGAGGAAAACAGTACATGCTTGTATTGTAATACAGAATTCTTTCAGCAATGAAAGAATAATTTTTGTTGCTGCTGCTAATAACGTAAAAATGTTTATGCTCAAGACAACTACACTACATTTGTGCTTTTCTGTGCTGTATTTCCAATATGGACACAGATGCAGAGATGCCTGGTCTGCTTTATACTTTTAATTAGAGATTTTATAGCAGAATTACTGTAGTGAAGTCCCATGTTATTAGCATGCTTCAGTTAAATCATTCACTGCAGTTTTTAATAGAACCAGAGGTAAAAGTGAATACAGATCTGAAAAATGAATAAGCCCTATAGGGTAATCTGTTGTTCTCACTGTGTCATCCGTTTTTCTAGTGTTAGCATTTGTTTGCCTATTTGCACAAGTAACTGCTTAAATTGTGTGAAAACTCACATCTGTGTTGGACCTTGCCAGAGATGGATGGTTTTATTGTCCTCCAGAGGAGATGGAATGGTTCTGGAGATATTCCATGAATTTCAGATTCCAAAGTCTTTCTTTGCAGTCAAACAGTAAAATCTAAACAGGCAAACAGAATTTGTGACTGTCTCCCAACTACATATAATTACTGAATTTTGTTTTAAACAGCAGATGGTTGGTGAAAATCTCATATGCCTCACAAAGTATCAAATTTCAGTCCCTTTGCTAGATTATATCCCAATAGTGACTTTGTTTTGAGAAAACGCTGTGCAGACTGATATTAATGTACAATATTTCACAAGAGAAAAATCATAAGACACAAAGAACACCGTGTTGCTTGGTGATAGAAAGCTGCGTTATTCCTCACTCAGCCTATGTAGCCTCCAGGAATGTATTTGGTCAACTGACTTGAACGCAGAGGCATAACAAGCAGTCACATCACAGCACACTGTACTTCTCTATTAAAATATTTATGTATTTTTAGACCAAGAGGGGCCATTAGAGCATTAAGTCTTGCCTCCTTTTAATATAAACATTACAAGTTATCCATATGCAGAGCCTAGTAACTTGCTGGAGGTAAATTTTTAGAAAACATCAGCCTTGAGCTGGGTTCAAGAGCATACTTACAATGACTGCTTGTTCTAGAGATTTTTTCTCCTATCTACTAAAAAAAAAAATCTATAAAGTTTGAATTATTTTGACTTTCATCCTCCATGAACACTTCATATCTAGTATGGGTTTCCTATTGGAAGGTATTATCTGTTATTATCAAATCATATTGATAACTAAACTAAAACGCTTGAGTCTCACAGTGTATGTCTTCCAAGTCACTTCCTTTATCTTTACACCCTTTCTGACCCCCTGTATCCTTAATGAACCTCTTAATAACAGAATTGTGCAAAGCATTTCAACATCAACCTCACAAATGCTATTTACTAATCATAAACCACCTGTAACTTGCATATTCTTTCCACCTCCTTCTATTTTTTTTGTTGTTTGGATCATCATCAAAAGGTGTGGGAAAGGAAGGAATTGCTTTTTACCATCTCTGACTAGCATCCTGTAAATATATACACGTGTGAGGCTGAAAACCTCTGTGGGAGCGAATGGGATTCAAACCAAATGAAACCGTATCTGCTTATATTGAAGTGTGTCTTGGTATCAGAACCGTCGAAGTATTTCAGAAATCTTCAGTTCTATTTTCCTGCCTTCTTCATATATCCTTATGATTTTTTCATGCATGCTTTCTCTGCCTTTTCTCATGGCGGTAGACTTGCACAAAAACATGGCAAATTTCACAAATATTAATCTAAGACGATGCAAGGCAATACAAGGCAAGCAAGAATAGATTGTCATCTATGATTGCATGTCTTCAATCACACAAACAGGGGTCTTCAAAGTGTGGATAGAAAGTGGATTGTATTTAGCAGTTATGCCTTCTGAACATCGAGTAAAAGAGTTTTGGCAGTAGAGTTTTGAGTGTTATCAATTGATTGGCTTCAGGGTAATAGAGCCATACTTTGTTGAAAGCATGTTGTTCAGATTTTTTTAACATTAGGAGTAATACATACGTACACATACATAATTTCTTCAAGCAAAACAGCAGAACATGAGCCTGTGTGTGACATGCATAGGTAATCATGGCCAATATAATAGAGGACCATAGAACAGTATCTAGTCCCAGGGTGGAAAAACACAGTTCCAGTTTCAGAAGTAGGTGACTGTTAGAAGTCTGCAGTGTAGAAAATGTATTGGAAAGACAGAAGGCTTTTAGCCATTATTTTTACAGATCCAAATGCCTGTGATGAGCCAGGTTCTTCTGAAACATGTTTTGCTTTATTTTTATGAGTCTTAGTAT